ACCCAGCCCTGATCCCAAATCCAACCCAGCCCTGATCCCAACCCAGCTCTGATCCCAAACCCAACCCAGCCCTGATCCCAAATCCAACCCAGCCCTGATCCCAAATCCAACCCAGCCCTGATCCCAAATCACTGACGCTCACCCCAGCTTTGCTCGCACTCCAGGCTCAGCCCCAATCCTAAATCAACCCCAGCAGGGCTCTGACCTTCACCCAACCCTAAAGACAGGGGGCTCCAGCTGACCCCAATTCCACCCCAAATCCCAACCCTGCCCCCATCGTAGCCCCACATCCGCAGGACTGGGGCTGAACCCAAACCCCCAGCGGGGCCACGGTTGAGTAGAACCCTGAATTCTTCCAGGATTAAACCCAGACCCCAAAGCGGACGGGCCGCCCGCCTCCCATGGGGTCTCACAGCCCCGTTTGGGGTTTGTGTCCCCTGCCCAGGTTGCCCCGTTTGCCCCCAGGGTTGGACGTATTTTGGGGGGTCCTGTTATTTCTACTCCAGCACGGCCGAGACGTGGGACGGCGCGTGGGGCTTCTGCTCAGCACGTGGGGCAGAGCTGCTGGAGGTGGACGGCGACGAGGAGAAGGTGACCCCAAACCCGGCCCCTCATCCTACAGCCGACCCCGACCCTCATCCACTGCCAGGATCCTGCCCCCATCCACACCAACCCCAATCCATGGCCACAATCCCATCCTACACCCAACCCCAATCTATGACCAGAATCCCATCCTCATCCTACCCTCAGTCCTAATCCATGGCCAGAATCCTATTTCCATCCTACACCCCACCCTAATCCATGGCCACAATCCCATCCCCATGCTACACCCAACCCCAATCCATGACCAGAATCCTATTTCCATCCTACACTCAACCCCATCCCATGACCACAACCCATCCTACACCCAACCCCAATCCATGGCCACAGCCCCATCCCCATCCTACCTCCAAGCCCAATCCATGGCCAGAATCTCATTCCCATCCTACACTCAATCCTAATCCATGGCCACAACCCCATCCCCATCCTACACCCAACCCTAATCCCTAATCAGAATCCCATCCACACCAACCCCATTCCATGGCCAGAATCCTATTTCCATCCTACACCCAACCCCAATCTATGGCCACAATCCCATCCTATCTCCAATCCAAATCCATGGCCACAATCCCATCCAGATCCTACGCCCAACCCCAATCCATCACCATAACCCCATCCTATACCCAACCCCAATCCATGACCACAATCCTATTTCCATCCTACACCCCACCCAATCCATCACCATAACCCCATTTTACCTCCAACCCCAGTCCACGGCCAGAATCCCATCCCCATCCTACCCCCAAGCCTAATCCATGACCAGAATCCTATTTCCATCCTACACTCAACCCCAATCCATAACCAGAATCCCATTCACACCAACCCCAATCCATGGCCACAGCCCCATCCAATCCTACACTCAACCCTATCGCATGACCACAATCCCATGCTACACCCAACCCCAACCCATGGCCAAAATCCCATCCCCATCCTATCTTCAATCCTATTCCATGACCAGAATCCTATTTCCATCCTACACCCCACCCTAATCCATCACCATAACCCAACCCCCATCCTACACTTAATCCTAATCCATAACCAGAATCCCATCCGCACCCAACCCCGATCCATGACCGGAATCCCATTCCCACCCCAATCCTGCCATCCCTAAATCCTAATCGTACCACAACCCCTAATCCTGCTCTAATCCCAATCCTGCCACAGCCCCAGTGCTGCCATCCCCAATCCCAATCCTGCCATCATCCCTAATCCCGCCGTCCTCCCATCCCCATCCTGCCATCCCCCACCCCAATCCTGCAGCCCCCAATCCCAATCCTGCCATAACCCCCAATCCTAATCCTGCTGTAATCCCAATCCTGCCATAGCCCCCAATCCTGCCATAATCTCTAATCCTGCAGCCTCCCACCTCAATCCTACTACAATCCCTAATCCTGCTGTCCTCCCACCCCAATCCTGCCATCCCCCATCCTAATCCTGCTGTAATCCCAAATTGTGCTGCCTCCCATCCCCATCCTGCCATGACCCCCAATCCTGCTGCCCCCAATCCCAATCCTGCCATAACCCCCAATCCTAATCCGGCTCTAATCCCAATCCTGCTGTAGCCCCCAATCCTGTCATAATCTCTAATCCTGCTGCCCCCAATCCCAATCCTGCCATCATCCCTAACCCTGCCGCCTCCCACCCCAGTCCTGCCCCCCCC